CTAGTGTGCGCCCTGTGTTTTTTTTAAATGCTGCAACAATATATTTTTTAAATGCTACAGTGATATTTTTAAAATGCTACAGTATCCCGCCTCTGTTGCAGTAATTTTTAAAAAATGCTACATTAATATTTCTAATAATGCTACAGTATCCTGCCTCTGCTACAATGATATTTCTTTGAAAAATGCTACAGCAATAATGATACAGTTAATTACTGTAGCATTCATTATAGCATAAATAGTAATTCTTGGGTCCTCCCATTATTTTATAGAGAAATAGATGAGGATTATTGTAAGGTTGGTCGCTTATAGTGAGCAGTGCTTGTGGCATGTAGGGATGGCAAAAACCTACCCGTTGGATAGATTTGAGGTACTAATAAGCAATTATTGTGATTTGAGGGATTAATATGGAATTATTGAAGATACTAGGGACTAATACTACATAACACAAGTTACTTTGTTTGGTTTGTGGTTTGTGTGTGTGTGGTGGGGGTGGGGGGGGGGGGGCCACATCCAACCATTTTGATAGATGTAGAAGAAGGGGAAGTAGTTGCCTACATCAACAAACAAATACGCACACAACGCCACTGAGTAATTCAACATTGGGTTATTTAGATATTAATCCCTCAATTCTTTAATAATATCGTATTTGTCTCTCAAATCTTTAAAATTGCTCATTAGGACCTCAAATCCTAAGGGGCCTTGCAATTTGGTCCCTTAATAACAATATTGCTCCCCAGCTAACATTTTGTTGAAGAGGGATTTTGGAGGAAGCCAAAAGTTGAGGGGTATTTTAGTTATTGAAGGACCAAAGTGCAAGTACCATTAGGATTGAGGCACTTGTGAGCAATTTCAAAGATATGTGGGACTAATATAGAATCGTTCAAGCTTTGAGTGACTGATTTGTAAATAACCTCTTCAACATTTTGGACTGCTGTAGATAACACTATTCGACAATTTGCTATGGCCTTTTAATTCAAGAGACAAAATGACACAACTCAAATTAAGATTATTTCTCGTACGGCAGAAATCAAATATTGCACAGAAAAGAGTTTAGTTATGTCCTAAAACAATTTGAATAGACAACGAAGAAAATATCGCATTTGGTGTTTCTTAAATGGGCCGGGAAACCCATTTAGTAAACGGTCGGGTCAAGTAACGGGTAAATAATTTACAAAGATAGGCTTTGTCACAGTGATCCAAAATATAGGACCAACAGGGGAGGACAGATGAGGTGTCCCTCTTCTATTGCATAATGAGCTGACCATCATTAATGATGACCAGTTCATTATGCAATAGGAGGTGGACACCTTACATGTCCCCTCTGTTGGTCTCATATTTTAGTTCATTAGGGAATTTTTCTACAAAGATATTTCTGTTTGTGAATAGTTTGGATTATTGTGTGTGCTAAAAATATTATTCTTAGCAGTGTAAATGGATGCCAATTGTAGACACACTCTAGTGATTTTACTTGTGCGGATAGACCTCTTGAGTCAACTTTTTTTTTATTTTTACTCTTTTTAAGAGCATGTTTGGCAACCTACTTATTTTTACTTATAAGTGCGCTTTTACTTATAGGATTTTAAATTCATGTTTGGTAAAGTTTACTTATTTACTTATTTTTAACTTATAAGTAGCCAAAAAAAGTTGGGATTTCCCAACTTATTTCCTGACTACTTATAAGGAGATTTACTTATTGTTGGGAAAAATCTACTTTGCCCTTTAAAAAATGAGTAATAAATAACTTATAAGCTTCAAAAAATAAGTATTAGCCAAACATGCCCTAAGAATACAAAAAAATACATTCGAGTGGATAGAATATTAACTGGGTCCATCTGCACTTGGACAATGGGTACATGTAACATGAGGTTTATTCGCACCAGTAGAACTACATGGCTCTATCCACGATTAGGCTATACTAGAGGGGATCTATCCGCAATTAATCTTATAGTACATATGCATATTTTCCTCTCGAAAGTGGTACGACGATACTAGCTCTTGACTAGTGTGATGCTGATGGATTTGATATATTGATCTACATATCCTAATAATATGGACCGTAGAACTGGGTCTTTGTTTCCAAATATGAATGTGTTTTACTGACTCTGAAAAAAAAAAAACATATCAATTGACCATTTTTCTAATTTAAAGAAGTTTATCGATATACTATCACAAATGTATATGCCAAATTTGTTTAACTTTTTTCAGTGCAAATATGCAATAATCATAAAAAACAATTTTGCCTATTTCTAAACCCAAAGTTTCATCTTAATTTATTTGTAAACCCACTCACCTCCAAAATTATTCTGAAACGAATATTTACATACCAAATTATTTTTAAACCTGGTTTCTTATACAGCGCGTTTAAACTGCTAAAATTGGTAGTATTATATTTAGATTTAAGTTGGTATAATTGAGTTATTAAAAAAACAGAGTATAGATACAAATACTTGTGGTTTTAACAGTTTTGGAAGTGGAGGGGTTTAAAAGTAATAATAATGAAGCTTTGGGTTTCGGGAAAAAACTGTAGAAAAAAACTTATTTCTCACTCCCATTTTATTCCTCATTCTCATTCTCTCGTCGCCGCGACGAAATTGTCGGCCGCCGCCGCTGCCACGTATACCAAGGTTAGGGTTTCTCATCTTTTGATTTCCATTAATTCTCAGTAATTTGAGGGCTTTACTGCTTATATCTGGAATCAATTAGTAGATTGCTGCTGATTACTTGAGAGGGAAATTAAACCCTAAACCCTAAAAGCCCTAATAAAAACCTGTAAATTTTCAGAATAGAAGACGGAATTGGTGTCTTTTTCGTTAGAAATTACTTGCGTTTATATGTTTTTGTGGGAAATTTATGTTTACTTGGATCTATTATGAACACTTTAGAAATGGTTATTGGATAATTTTAGAAAATTGAGGAAACAGTAATTTGTACTGTTGATAATTTTTTCAAATATAAAGAAGGAAATCAGTAGTGCAACTGAAGAATGCTTCCTAAAACGTCACGTGCAAGTTTATGATATATGTGAATGTTTGTGTAAATGGAGGTTGGTGAAGAGGTTGAAGCATCCGATTTTAACACACGAAGCTTAAGAAGAGGAGTATCTAGATGACGCTTAATCATGAAATGAGGTTGGAACCACAGGGGAGTATAGTAAGGAAAAACCGATGACCATCGTTGGATTGATTAAGTATTAAATGGCTTCGCATAATCTTTTTCCCCCTCTAATTTGGAAAATGATTTACGCCTGTTTTAAAAACTATGCTTGTGATGTATAACACAGCGCCTTATGCGCCCTACGATGCATGGCAATGGCGAAGCGCCCCTCATCTGATGCAGTAACGCGTTTTGAGCCTCACAAGTGAATTGTGCTTCTCATAGGGCGCATGCGATGCATAGCCTTATATAGTTTTGTTCTTAACATTTCAATCAGGTATTTATACCCGACAAACCCATATCCCAGAGAATAAAATAAAACCATTAGGGATTTATAGTAACCCAATTGAGGACCATGAGTTTTGTGTCAATATTGGTCTTGATCTGACTTTTGATATGAAAATTTATGAACTTCGCTCTATGTTGGATGTGTTAGCATTAGAAATTAAGACTTTATTTTGTGATCTCATAGAAGATGTTATTTATCTTGACATTTTTTTTTCATGAAAATATATAAACATGCTACTTGGTGCTTGATACTCATCATGAAAAATTATGTGTGTGATGTGTGTGTCGCTTCACTTGGGCACGTGCATCGCATTGCACCTTGCGTATGTACGCGTAAGGAGACTTTGCGCCCCTCATTGCGCCTCACACATTGATAACACTGGTATAACATATGAGCATTTCTGGATCAGGTTTGGTCCTTATTTATTTGATTATATACTAGTTCAATATGTTTTAGTGTGCATTATGTTATTAAGAAGTGGTACTTTTCATTTATTAGTATATAGCATATGTAAATTGTTGCATCAGTTTTGACTCCGAATTATCTAATTGTATACCAAATTACCAATGCATTCTGTTCGTGATGTACATATGTTAGCTTTATCAACAATCATGGTTTGGTTTACTGGCATGCAGTAGAATGTACTGAAGTTCATTTCTTCTCATTGCAGTGATTTTATTTCATGCGAGCATGGTGTCTACTGAGCTAGCTGATAAACTTTCTGAATTGCACATGAGTACTGATCCTCAATGCAATGGTAAAAGAAAAATGGAAAGTTATTCGGTGGAAGATGATGTAGGGATCACATGTTTTACAGAGAATTTGCATGACACTACAATCCACTTTCAGATAATAAAGCTTGCAAAGCAGGTAATGAACCTTTTGTGGTTTGGTGTATTTCTTGTGTATTATGTGTTCTCTGTCTTCAGATAATAAAGCTTGCAAAGCAGGTAATGAACCTTTTGTGGTTTGGTGTATTTCTTGTGTATTATGTGTTCTCTGTCTTCATTGCTTCGGGCTTGTTGTTATGACTATTGTATATTAGGATTCATCTTTTCCCATTTATTCTTTTCCGTCGACTTTGCAAAGTAGGAACGGTAACGCTAAATGATGTAGCATAAGTTTAGATACTGCTAGCTTTAGAAGTCAGATTGTTGGTTCTTGTTGAAAGAGAAATATTGAATAGTCATTGTGTCAAACTATTTCATGGTTCCCATATATATTTACTTGTCCAGACGTAAATTGTATATTCCACATTATCCATAATGTATGCATGAGTTGACTGAAATTGTGTGTATCCAGGCAAAAATTGATATAGGAATCACTAATGTATTATTGACGAAATAAGCATAAGCTTACCCGCAGTTTAGTCAGGAGCTTTGAGCTGGTATTCTGTCATTTTCTCCAACAGACTGTTTAAGCGTAATTGGTTTAGTTCCGTAGCTAAACTTAAAATTTTTGGGGGACAAGGACTTCAAACTGATTGCTTATGTTTGAGGAGTCTGGGTGAACTACTATGATGCTTACTATTATATATGGCGGATCCAGAAAACTTTTTGTTTGGGGGCAAATGACAAGTATCTATTTAACTAAAACTAAAAATATAATTATTGGTTATATAGTTATGGTTGAAACTCAAATGGTATGTGCTATTTAATGCAAATGGGCTCAAATTGGCTATATAAGCAAATACTAAGACATTGGGGTGCAAATCTTACAAAAATAGGGGGGTATATTGAAATTTCTGAAGACTATATAATGTAATTATGAAATATTCTGGGGTGAAATTGCACCCTAGGCTAGAATACAGATCCGCCCCAGATTATAGTTGCATTCTGGTGCTGGTTAAGTCTGGTTGGCAACGTATTGAAGCATGGCCATATTTGTTGCACCTGCTAAAATGATGATTGAGGAATTTTCTTATTCTTGCTTATATGATACAGAGAGATACATCTCCCTACTCGTTCTGCATGAACTTCTTTGCTTAGAAAAATCATTTATTATTCGTCTCTTTTATACTTTTTGTTGGAGCTTTAGTCTTATTGATTTTGTTTAATTTTATGAAGCATTGCTTGTATACTTTGTGGGGTAACACATTACTATGATGTGCTGGTACCTTCCTTCAGTTTCGCTTGTTTCCTTTATAACCTCTGTCTATAAAAAAATTCGTCTATAGTAAGACATGGTAACTGGATCAGAAATTATAGAGTTCTGTTTTTGAAACCTAAGAGAGGAGATCACTGGAAACATATTGATTATTTCTTGATCCAGATAGTTTACCCAATCATATGGCCTTCCAAGAAATCATTTAGCTTGTGAATTCTTCATGTGCTTTCCGAATCATATGACCTTCATATGAAATCATTTAGGGAGCGTTTGGCAATCGTGACGTTTTTGTCGTTTCTGTTTTTTTTTCAACAAAAACAAAGAAACGCGTTTGGCAACCGGGACGTTTTTTGACTTGTCCCTTTACAAAATTTAAAAATTAAACATCTTTCTCAAAACACCAAAAAGATGTTTTAAGATTTCGTTTTTTCATCTAAGCCGCCAGCTGCCCGCTCGCCCGCTGCCGCCCGCCCCGCCGCCATCCCCGCAGCCCCTGCGCCGGCCACCGCGGCCGCCCGCCGCCTTGGGCCCGCCGCCATCCCCCTGCGGCCACCCACCCGCCCACGGCGTCCGCCCGCCGTCGCCACCACCGCCACTGCCGTTAGTCTCCCCGGCCGCCGCCACACGCCGTTCAGGCCGGCTGTTAATCCACCCTTCACCCGCCGCCACCGCTGCCGCCCGTCGCCCGCCGCCCGCCGCGCAACCAGTTCGCGCCGACCCCGCGCCACCCGTCGGCCGCCATCGTCGGCGCGGCAGCCGCCAGCCGGCGCTGTCGCCGTCGCCGCCTGCCACTCGCCAACCCATCGCGCCACCCGTCGCGGCCCGTCACCTTGCCCGCCGTCGGTCGGCCGTCGCGCCACCCTCACCGCCGCTCGCCGCCACCGGCCGCCGTCGCTGCACCCGTTCGGTTGCCGACCACCTCCGGCTCTGCCGTCGCCTCGGCCCGTTCGGCCGACGCACCGCCGTCACTATCTGCCGCCGCCGCCACCGTTTATCTAGGCCACCCGTCGAGCCTCGCCGCGCCCGCCCGCTTGGCCCGGTCCCGCCGCGCCACTCTCCGTATCCACCGGTAGCGACAATCCGTCGCTTCGCCCGTCGGCGACCGCGCGGCGCCAATTGCCACCCGTCATCGCGCCGCCCGCCCACTGCCGCTATATAAATGGTTAAACTAGTTTGACCAAAATGGTGTTTTCAAAAGCATGGTGTTTTTGTAGTTTTTACAAAAACACAACAAAAAAACACATTGATTACCAAACACACCCTAAGAGCTTGTCAAACCTCATTGTGCATATGTAGCTCATGGCTGCCGTCATGTGAGCAAGTAACATTCTTGTTATCGTTGCTTATTATAAGGAATAGTATGTGGATGACTTATTTTTTCTAACTATGTTCTTCATGCAGGATATACTTTGTGTGTGTGCGTGTGTGTGTAAAAGAAAATTTTGACATCAAAATAAAACCTTAGATTGATTCCACATGTTTATAAGACGATAAATAAGAATGACCTGTTTAGGATTAATGATGAGTCTTGACATCTGACACACTCGCGAAATGGACTTTTTATCATGAAATGTCTACCTCTTCGGCTAGCAGGTGCAACTCCAACAGATTTGATGGTAATTTGTTTATTGACTTCTGGAATATACTCTTTGAGCCTAATATCGGGAGTGTGCTAGGCTGCTAGCTCAGTTCTCCGATATGGGAGAGTCCACTTTGAGTTTTCTATCTATTTCATTACTCTTTTTATGAAATCACACTAATGTATGTTTAATCCATTTTTAAGCTTGAATTTATCTTTCATACAAGTACAGATAAATAATACATCAGATTTTTAAAGCTCTGTCTCCAAGTTTAACTGGAAATAGTTGTTACTCCAACATTGGAGTCAAAAAGTTGTGCTTCATGTTGCACATACTTAGCTTGATCTTGTTTTCTGGCTACCGCTAATGCCTGGAAAATAATAGCTACTTTAATTGGAAAAGAATAAAATATATTTTATCAGGGACAGAACATTATGGCATACGTGTGGCATATCTTATACATGATCATTCTTTCTGCTATCAACCACTAACCTTATGGCTGAAACAGAAATATTTTCTTTCTTCAGTTCTTTCCCCCCCCCCTTTTGTTTAGGGTGGGGCAACAATTTTAAAATAATCCGAGTATAATGCAACAATCATATCAATCATTATACCTTGTAGGTAGGCTGGTACACCTTTTTATTATTATTAAAGGAATGTAGATAGCATATTATGTTTTCAGGATTTGTGCCCTTTTTATAGCAGGTTGTGATTTGCAATAGACCATCAAATCAAGAAATTGTAAATGAATTATCGATATCATACTTGGTGCATTCAGTGAACCAATACTTCTTTACCCATCATCGGCCGTCTCACTTAGCCAATTGTTTTTGTTGACTGCAAAGTAGTTACAGGTTTTTGATGGTCTTCACACTTTCTGCAGATCTTCGCTTGGATAGGTTGCAATTCAGCAAAGTTTGGGCATCTGTACGCAGCTGCACCCACTCGTCCGGTAATGAATATCTTCACATGCTTCTATTTTCTAAGGATTAATTGCCGATGGATCCCGTCCCCTATATTATCGCCCTACTGCGGATAGACACCCTTCATAGTTTTAGTGTTGCAGTTACAACTGCCTAAGGGTAAAAGGGTCAAAATATTTAACTCAGGGGGTCTGTCTGCAACAATACAACACGGGGGTCTATCTGCAATTAGGTGATAGTAAGGAGGTCCATCCGCAACTAACCCTTTGTTCACCTGTCTGTAACTTATCATGTATGTGAAACCTAATACACTGGGATGAGCTTGTCAGAACAATATGGTTGGTGTTACTTCATTGCTTGGAGGAACTGCTGATAACACTGGGTCAAGTATTGCTCGTCATATAGGTAAGCTCGGTCGTGTTATTAGTTGTATGACCTCGTTTAGTGTCATCATAATTGAGTGTTTTCCTTCTTGCAGTATCGAAGACGGGTCTCAGTTTGGTCCTGGCATGTAATATTCCTAAGGACAGCCCCATGCTTGAGGTACCCTTTTTTCCTGCAAACAAGTATATGCATGTTGTGTGTCATAAAGATCCAAACAAAAAATAAAAATAAAAATAAAAATAAAAATGAACATTATTGCTCAATGATTGCACTAGATAATTTAATGTGTCTGATATTGAATATAAGAAATCGTAATCTTGTTTGAGCTGTCGGAACCCTCTGGCGCAACTTTGTCCCTCTCTTCTCACATGCAGAAATTAGCTAACAATAAAGTAGGGCGATGATTTTATAATTCAAACTTCTCATCTCAAAGTGCAGCTTGACAGCTAGGTTTGTGTGGACTGTGGACCTAGCACCCCCTCTATTGCGTTTAATTTTGAGTTAGATTTGTGTAAAGAACCTCAAGTTTTGCAGCACTACTCATTAAAATACTGTCATCATCTTAAATTATCCAATTAAAATACATGGAGAATCTTAATCGGATCATCATATACATCTGGAAAGCCGTATGCTTTGAAAGAAGCTTGTACAGTTTTGGAAGGGGTTTTTGTTGATAGGATGCTAAGCAAGCTTCAAAACTAATTGTCCCGGGTTTTAAAGCCATATTAGAGCTCTATAGATTGATGTCAAATCCTTTTTCAAAATCGTAAACAAAATAAGTAAAGGTACAAAATTGTAAAAATAATGAAACTCAAGTAGATTGCTGAGATAAATGCCGCAATATTATAGAATTGATGGACGATACCGATATTGTAGCATCAGATCTCTAATATGTGTGAACTATAAGTATGTGTTGAGTTCGGCCTCATTTTGGTTCACATTTTTCATATCCAGTGCATATTTATAAATATGTTTTACTTTGTTTCAGGCAGCAGCTGAGAGAAAATTGTTAGAGAAATTGAAAAATCTCGGTTATATCGAACCCAAACTTGAAGAAGTCTGAAGTAGCATAACTATAAAGCTAGCAAAGTTAGTTTTCCTTATCATTGTTATTTGTGTTTAGGGGCTGTTTGGACGTGAATTTGTATTTTGGATTTATGACATTGTTTAAAATCCATGAAATTCTTATTCAAAAATTTACATTTTGTATTTGGTTACTAGGTTAGTGACATATAAAGTTAGTTTTGTAAAGGGAATCCAAAAACCTTTGTTTGTTAGTAACATAAGTGGCTGGTCACGGTTGATTTCCTGTTTAAAATATATTACATTAGCAAAAAGTTTTTTTTTTTTTTTTTGACAAGGAAAAAAGTTTTGTACAAAGCTTTGGGAAAATTGTGTCTAAGGCTCTAAAAGCAAAATCTTCATGTGCTTCAGCCTCTTTAACTTTTTCTCATGTGGTTTAGCCCTTAAACTCGAGATCTATGTTCTGTAGTCCTCTTTTAGCAATTTTTACCTGCTAACTAAGCATAGACAGAAAATAAAAAATAGAAAACCTTAAAAATGCTCTTATCTACTCTATTCTTTCATGTTAAGTCTAAAAACAAGTTGAATAAGAGTTAACATGAACCGAAGTAGACTTAACATACCGAATTAGACTTAACATTAACCGAATTAGACTTAACATGAAAGTCTATTTCATGTTAAGTCTAATTCGGTTCATGTTAAGTCTAATTTATTAGACTTAACATGAAAGTCTATTTCATGTTAAGTCTAATTCGGTTCATGTTAAGTCTAATTTTATTCCTTTTAAGTCTAATTTAAATCATAGTCTAATTCGGTTCATGTTAAGTCTAATTTTATTCCTTTTAAGTCTAATTTAAATCATGTTATGTCTAACTCAACTTGTTTCAAGTCTAATTTAATTTATGTTAAGTCTAATTCAACTTGTTTAAGTCTAATTTAATTCATATTAAGTCTAATTTAATTTCTTTTAAGTCTAATTTAAATCATGTTATGTCTAATTTAACTTGTTTTAAGTCTAATTTAATTGTTAATTTCTTTTAAGTCTAATTTAAATCATGTTATGTCTAATTTAACTTGTTTTAAGTCTAATTTAATTGTCCTTACCATGAAATTAGACTTAAAATGAATTAAATTAGACTTAACATGAACCAAATAAATCTAATTTAATTCTTTTTAAGTCTAATTTTAATCAAATTTAGTGTTAAGTCCAATTTAGTTCATGTTAAGTCTACTTTAGTTCATGTTAAGTCCAGTTTGATTCATGTTAAATCCAATTTGGTTCGTATTATGTCCAGTTTAAATTATTTGAAGTCTAATTTAAATTGTTTTAAGTCTAATTTAAATCTTGTTAAGTCTAATTTAAATCATTTTAAGTCTAATTTAATTCATGTTAAGTCTAATTCAACTTGTTTTAAATCTAATTTCATGTTGAGTCCAATTTAATTTATATTAAGTCTAATTTAATTCTTTTTAAGTCTAATTTAAATCATGATATGTATAATTCAACTTATTTTAAGTCTAAAATAAGTTGAATAAGACTTAACATTTGATTGTTGTTAAATCTAATTTGATTCCTTTTTTAAGTCTAATTTCATGTTAAGTCCAACTTGATTCGTGTTAAGTCTAAATTCAGTTCATGTTAAGTCTAAATTCAGTTCATGTTAAGTCTAATTTCATGTTAAGTCCAACTTGATTCATGTTAAGTGTAAATTTATTTTATGTTAAGTCCAACTTGATTCGTGTTAAGTCTAAATTCAGTTCTTGTTAAGTCTAATAATAGTTCATGTTAGGTCTAATTTTATTTTAAGTCCAACTTGATTTTTCATGTTAGGTCTCATTTCATGTTAAGTCCAATTTCAGTTCATGTTAAGTCTAATAATAGTTCATGTTAGGTCTAATTTTATTTTAAGTCCAACTTGATTTTTCATGTTAGGTCTAATTTCATGTTAAGTCCAATTTTAGTTCATATTAAGTCTAAATTCAGTTTATGTTAAGTCTAATTTCATGTTAAGTCAAACTTGATTCGTGTTAAGTCTAAATTCAGTTCATGTTAAGTCTAATAACAGTTCATGTTAAGTCTAATTTCATATTAAGTCCAACTTGATTCGTGTTAAGTCTAAATTCAGTTCATGTTAACTCTAATAACAGTTCATGTTAGGTCTAATTTCATGTTAAGTACAACTTGATTCGTGTTAAGTCTAATTTTAGTTCATGTTAATTCTAAATTCAGTTCATGTTAAGTCTAACAACAGTTCATGTTAAGTCTAATTTTATGTTAAGTCCAACTTGATTCGTGTTAAGTCTAAATTCAGTTCTTGTTAAGTCTAATAATACTTCATGTTAGGTCTAATTTCATGTTAAGTCCAACTTGATTCGTATTAAGTCTAAATTCAGTTCACGTTAAGTCTAAATTCAGTTCATGTTAGGTCTAATGTCAATCATGTTAAATTTCTTTTAAGTCTAATTTAAATTATGTTAAGTTTAATTCAATTTTTTTAAGTCTAATTTCATGCTAGGTTCAATTAAATTATGAAATTACCCTAAGGGGGGGGGGGGGGGGGG